ATTGCTGCAGCTGTCATATTTGCATTAGGAAAAGCAAAATTTGCAACATGCAGATATCCAAAATATTTATGCATATAAATACAAATCGCGCAGAAATATATGTGTGCAATTTTTAGTTGGTAAGGTGGCATATGAGTACATCTTTGTGTACTGTATATAGTAGGCAATAAGACCATATTTTGTTGTCATAAAAGCAAGATGAGTAGCCTGAGCATATCGACCGCTGAGTGGAAGATCGACATATCTCGGTAGTCGGTTCGAAAACGCTCCATCTCAGAAAATGGCTCAAGAAGGCCCTACTTCGCGATTTGATTGAAAAACGCCTTATCTCAGAATTTGATTGAAGAATGCCCTATCTCAGAAGTGGTTTCAAAAATGCCCTCTCTCAACTGGAAAAATGTTGATATGGGGCGTTTTTGAGGCGGTAGCTGAGGTAGGGTAGTTTTGAACTGAATTTTGAAATCGGACATTCTTCAATCAAATTCTGAGATAAGGTGTTCTTCAACCAAATTCTGAAATAGGGCGTTCTCAGAACATTTTATAAGACAGTGCGTTTTCGAATTGTCTGCCCAGGTAGGTCGATCTACGGCTGGGCCGTCGATATACTGCAAAATTGCCATATAATTTAAAACTTTTTCATATTTGGCACTACCACCGATTTTGGCTTTACCCGAGACCAAAAAAGTCACACCAACTGCGTCTTTCATTTGCGAATTTGCGTCAGTTTCTCAGTCCGAGTCCTTCCATGGCGTTCGTGGGTGCCTTTGATTTCTTTCGTTGTTACCCATGGATGCTAAGTTGATGGATATTTTCGCCGAAGTATCTTCATCTACATATTTGTTTTGTTTTTTCAGAAGAGGAAGCACCGAAAGCCTAACCCCAAAAACCGTCAGTGTGAGACGGTAACCCACTAAACCTTCTATCATCTATGTACCGATCCCTTCGGTACCATCGCTAAGTAATTGGTAGGGAGGCGGATTGTGCTGGTTTGGTACCCACCCCATTGGTATTTTACAACCGAGAAGTTCGTTTATATGAATCAATAGACAGCAGCGTGGCCTGAGCCATATAAAGTGATGTGGTTCCGATGTGTCCACCTGTCTTTTGTTGCGATCTTCTCTCAGTAAAGAGGTGCGAATTTCGTGTTTCTCGTGCTTATTTTTTTCAACTTCTTTCTTTGCCAAGAGGTCAAGTGGAAGTATCCCCGAGATGAAAAGTTCTGAGTCTTCCGAACTTTTCTGTATGCAGAGCATACTCTTACAGCGCTTAGGCGATAAGTTGCATTCATATCATGAACGTACGATGAGCGTTTAAATGCGTCGAACCAGATGGTACCTCCATATAAGAATATGGATCTAACTACTCCTGATATTACTAGTCTGGACTGCAACTTCGATCCCCCAATGTTTGCCATCAGTTTGGATAGAGATGACGTCGCTCTCGCCGCCTTCTCGTTGACGTACTTGAGATGATCTCGGAAGTATAGGCGATGGTCTATTAATAACCCGAGCTATTTAACGTAGGGCTTTGACGCGATTACACTCCCTCCGGCAGTAAGTGTTACACCTTCCAATTTTTTGCTTCTGTTTACAAGCGTGAGGGATCGCGCACATAGCTTTTCTTACGCCACAGTAATTGACTTTTTCGCAATCGCCACTACCTCTGTACTGTAAAGGTAGCTTCCAGGTATAATGGGCCTCTAGAGTTCGTAATACGTTAATAATTTCCTTCCAAGAAACACTTTTAAATGCGTTGCTTACATCTGGCGTAACATCCAGATAGTATTCTTTTGTGCCACCTAGCCAACGTTTTGCCTTCATTCGCTTTTTCCGCTATGAACTTTGCTTCTCCAGACTGACATTATTTGTGGTGTTAATGCTGGATGCTAGGTAAACAAAGTCATTCAATACTTCAATGTTAGGTTAGGTACGTTTATAGTGGTGGTCTTCGTTCATATGCTGACTCAGTGACTAGTTACGATGATTCCAACGGTCATCTGGAGATGAGGGCTTTCGAAAAGAATGATGTTGTCGGATCTATTTTTGCCGCGTCTGCGTCATATTTGACGTGCTAGGCAACGTGTTTGTTCTTATGACTTCTTCTACATTAAGATTAGCCCTAATCAGCCACAGCGCGACTTCCTTGACCGCAGCACATAAGCTCAGCTTGAAGCACACCGTAGTAAGTATAAGAAGATCACTTCCACGGCTGTCTTCCAGCCTGGAGCCTCTGATATATAATGCAGTAGAGTTAGAGTAAGCTCCCAAGATCATTTCTTCTTCCCATTGGCTTCTCGAAGGAATCTGTGTGATTAAGCCATTCTCCAAGCTGTAAGTCGGGTTTCGTGTGGTCTGGAAACTTAAATTTGGCAAGACAGATGTCTACCTTTTGATTTTGAGGTAACTAAATCTTATCTCTTACAATTTTGCCAGAGCATTTGTTCAGACTCCATGGCCGCTTACCTGTAATTTAACGTAGAGATTTATCGCAGTTTCGAGGTCCTTGGTTAGCCATGATAAGCATACGTGCCACCCTTTGGGTCTTGTGCGAGTTTTGCCTTTTTTGTGATTTTCTCTAAGGGCCTCTCACGGAGAAAAAAATCGATCGATCTAGAAGGAGGAGAAGAAGAAGATGCATATCGTCGGTGATACTGCAAAATGTTCTTTGTCTATTAGTACCCTTGATACTTGGATGGTCTCTTACGTGCACCGGAATGCATCTGTAAATTGTTAAACCCTAATCTACCGTTGGCTGATAAAGATGAACGATTGCCAGAAGCGTTGAGATACAGATAACAGAACAATTACGGACCAGCGGTAATAAGTGACATAGAACGTTTTACAGTATCACCGACGATGTGCATACTTACTTAAGTATATGTGAATTTACATACATAAATATACACACAAACATCCAAATGTTATATGGCTTAAAATCAACTTTTTATTGAATCAACACTTCGTGGTTTGAAAATGTGTCAGTGCTAGATTTTCCGAACCTCAGTACACTACTTTGATTTTATTGCATTTGCATGCAAAAATGAGTCGATGTACATACATATGTACATAAGTATGACTGCATACATTTGTAGTTATGAATGTTGGGTGTATTTTGATTGATGCGGGATTAGGATTGATTCATATGCATTTGGTCACATAAAAGCGTGCCGTAACACTTACAGCTGTCGTCGGTTATGGCAACTAACTGATGTGGCTAGAATTTACAAGCTTCGTGAGTTTATTTGGAACGCTTTTTGATGTCATGATTGGCATTTAAAATGAATCAATGAATTTTAAATATTTTCTTATATAAATAACATCACTAAATGATATTGTCTTGAACTGTGATTTTAGCAAAAGCTGTTGGGTACAGTTGACAATATGGCTAATGATTACATGCTAAAGCTAAAAGTTTATTAATGAAAGGCCTATATCATAATTCTGAACACTTAAAATGACATAGCTGCACTCACACACAGGGGAAGTGATAAGTATCTACCTAATATGAACAAGAAATCTAAAAACTGCAAACATAATTATTCTCTTAAGAACGATCCAGCCATGCATTCTTCTTTTTATTTAACACTAGCAAATACCCGGCGTGCTTCACTGCGCCTTAAAAGTATTTTTGTGTTGTTTGATACCCGTATTGTAGTATTTCATTTATCTTAGCAATTTAATTAAATACAATTCTTCCAAAAGGTGGCAACCCTCCTCAGAAATATTATCGTTAGTAAACTTTCCTAAACCTCTTCAGTTTGATATCCATATTGCAATATTAAATTTATCATATCAATTAAATTAAATGAAAATTTTCAAACATGTGGCAACTTCCACAAAAATATTTTCGGCTATAAGCCTTCTTAAACCTCTTTCTTTTCATAGTCTTATTGAAATATTTAATTTATCTTATCTATTTGCTTAAACTGAAATTTACAAACGGGTGGCAACTCTATAATTTTTTCCCAACTATGTTTTAAACTAGATCTCTAGCAATACAACGGTGAAAACTGTATTCCATTTCATGTATTAGTTTTCGTGTGA